AATAAATGGCCCTATAATCTTAGGCTATATTTGTACTATACATCAGGGGTTGTGGAACTGCATCTGGCCACAGGGGTGAAAAGTGATGATTTGCATAGCCCCTCCCACTTTCTTGCAATAATAAGGGATAATCCCTCTATATTTGGAAAATGTGATGGAATGAGACATGGGAATACTTTCTGCTTTTTAAGAAGGCTCTAAACTGATTTGGTTGGAAGGCTTTTTGTTTGCTTTAGTCCCTTTTTTGCCATAACCTGTATGGTTCTACTGTCTCATAATGTGAAATAAATGAAGATTGGATAGAGCAGTGGTTTTCAAACTGCCGTCTTGGGGCTGGATGCGGCCCTTTGCTTTCCCTTATCTGGCCCTTAGGACTCTTATTCGTGTACTGACCCCAACAAAGAGGCATAATTCCTCCCACTGACCCCAACAAAGAGGCATACAGTTGTGACCAAAATTATTCAACCCCCACTGAAATTGAGTGTTTTGGCCAGTTTGACATTGCTTTTGATCATTCAGTCATCTTGCTTACATTTACATTAAAGAGGCACTTGTAGGTCAGACAAATATAACATAACAGTTATAATGAAATAACCACAAATGTCTTTTCTGTGCTCACAGCATTATCAGTTTTATTCAACCCCCAAGTGACATTCAATCTTAGTACTTAGTACAGCATCCTTTTACAGTTATAACAGCTTTTAAACGTGAAGCATAGCTTGACACAAGTGTCTTGCAGCGATCTACGGGTATCTTCGCCCATTCTTCATGGGCAAAGGCCTCCAGTTCAGTCACATTCTTAGGCTTGCGCACTGCAACTGCTTTCTTTAAGTCCCACCAGAGGTTCTCAATCGGATTTAAGTCTGGTGACTGCGATGGCCACTCCAAAATGTTCCAGCCTTTCCTCTGCAACCATGCTCTAGTGGACTTGGAGGTATGCTTGGGATCATTGTCCTGTTGAAAGGTCCAACGTCTCCCAAGCCTCAGGTGTGTGACGGACTGCATCACGTTTCCATCCAATATCTCCTGGTACTGAAGAGAATTCATGGTACCTTGCACACGCTGAAGCTTCCCTGTACCTGCAGAAGCAAAACAGCCCCAAAGCATGATTGACCCTCCACCATGCTTCACAGTAGGCAAGGTGTTCTTTTCATCATAGGCCTTGTTCTTCCTCCTCCAAACATAGCGTTGATCCATGGGCCCAAACAGTTCTAATTTTGTTTCATCAGTCCACAGAACACTATCCCACAACTTTTGTGGTTTGTCCACATGGCTTTTGGCATACTGCAGTCGACTCTTCTTATTCTTTGGAGACAGCAAGGGGGTACGCCTGGGAGTTCTGGCACGGAGGCCTTCATTACGCAGTGTGCGTCTTATTGTCTGGGCTGAAACTTCTGTACCCACATCTGACAAATCTTTTCTCAGTTCCTCAGCAGTCACACGGGGACTTCTCTCCACTCTACGCTTCAGGTAGCGCACAGCAGTCGAAGTCAGCATCTTCTTTCTGCCACGACCAGGTAGCGTTTCAACAGTGCCCTTTGCCTTGAATTTGCGAATGATGCTTCCTAAGGTGTCTCTTGGTATGTTTAACATCTTTGCAATCTTCTTATAGCCATTGCCCTTCCTGTGAAGAGAAATCACCTCTTCTCTTGTCTTCCTGGACCATTCTCTTGCCTTCACCATGTTTGTAACCACACCAGTAAATGTCTAGAAGGAGCTGAGTATCACAGTCATTTTAAAGCTGCCTAATTGGTGCTTATTATGCTTGATTGCTGCTCGGTGACATCCACAGGTGTTTTCAATACCTGATGGAAAGCACCTGTATGAACCTCTGTTCTTCAGAGTGGTAGTCTTTAAGGGGTTGAATAATTGTGGCAATGAAGAAACCACATAAGAACCATTTACTACTGTATTACATAAACAATTGATGTCATTTTAGTTGCATTTGGGTAGTTACAACGTCCTTGTAGGATTTGATTCTGAATACAATTCCAAATGTACACTATAGTCCCTAAACCCCTTTACAGCATTGGGGGTTGAATAATTTTGGTCACAACTGTAATTCCTCCCACTGACCCCAACAAAGAGGCATAATTCCTCCCACTGACCCCAACAAAGAAGCATAATTCCTCCCACTGACCCCAACAAAGAAGCATAATTCCTCCCACTGACCCCAACAAAGAAGCATAATTCCTCCCACTGACCCCAACAAAGAGGCATAATTCCTCCCACTGACCCCAACAAAGAAGCATAATTCCTCCCACTGACCCCAACAAAGAAGCATAATTCCTCCCACTGACCCCCAACAAAGAGGCACTCTTCCTCCCACTGACCCCAACAAAGAGGCATAATTCCTCCCACTGACCCCAACAAAGAGGCATAATTCCTCCCACTGACCCCAACAAAGAGGCATAATTCCTCCCACTGACCCCAACGACGGGGCACTCTTCCTCCGACTGATCCCAACGATGGAGTACTCTTCCTCCCACTGACCCCAACAAAGACTAACTCTTCCTCCCACTGACCCCAACGACGGGGCACTCTTCCTCCCACTGACCCCAACGACGGGGCACTCTTCCTCCCCCACTGACCCCAACGACGGGGCACTCTTCCTCCCACTGACCCCAACGACGGGGCACTCTTCCTCCCACTGACCCCAACGACGGGGCACTCTTCCTTCCAATGACATTAATGATGGGGCACTATTCCTCCCACTGACACCAATGATGGGGCATTGTTTGCTCCCACTTACACAAGGCAATTTTTTGTACTCCCACTGTTTACAGTCCAGCCCCTTCCTTAAGTCCAAAGGACAGTACACTGTCCCTTTTTGTTTAGAACGTTTGGAGACCTCTGGATTAGAGGAAAGGGGCTCTCTCACAATGGTCACAGTAGATTTACACACCTGGAAAGTGAAGCACAGAAATCTATAGTCATCCGTTGTGTATCATATTCCCAGTATTTGTCCTGCAGGACGGGGGAAAGGTTGGTCTACACTTGGCTGATCTCACTGGTTTCTGATTATCTTAACCAAAGGTCGTCTTTCTCATGGTCAGTGAGGGAAAGGTGAGCCTCATCAGACCTTTCTGTTATGGAATAAATCTGTACTGCCATCATGGAATCATTGTCAATACAGGAAGACAGAACTGTCTGTGTTGCTCATCAGGACAAAATAAAATGCATCTTTGGAATACATGAAAGTCTTGTGAAGTGTGTTTTGAAGGTGGACTGATATGAAATCCTCTTCTTCTTTTGCTGACTTCTTCAGATTTTACCAATCCTCTGATGTCCCACGAGTCACTGACCTGTAATAAATATGTAGGCTAGAAATATCAGCTTCTAAAGATGACCTCTATCTCGCCTATTCCTAGAGCTCCTCTTGTAACAAAGGGATGGGGCTTCAAGTGGTTGTAAACCTCAAACATGAAATATGAACAAAGCATATCCCTCTATAGTGTGTAATTGTCTCAATCCAGAGCACTAAGTGTCATTTCTGTCTGCTGCTTCCTTCCTTCCTCTATTATCAGCATGAATCATTTCTGACAAGTTTTCCTGCCACCAAGAGAAAAATGGTGACAGGAGGGACCTCCAGCTGATTGACAGCCTCAGTTCTGTACCTGTGAGCAGTGTGACAGGGGTGTGTCCCTTCCCTCCAATCAGCTGTCTGAACTATCCTCACTGAGCTCTGTGTAATTTCAGCTCCCCACCCTGTTTTGTGAGAAAAATTCAGACAAGCTATATAAATTCTGGACTTTGAACAGATGTAGAGAAAAGAAGACCGCAAATAAACGGGTACAACTTATGTTGGAAGATTTAATCAATCTGTGTATCACGTGAGGCCAGTCACTTCACTAGGTGTATATATAAGGATTTACAGCCACTTTAATGGCACTACAGACTTTCATCGTGCTTTACCGTGGTACACCACGTATTTATTGTGTAAACAAATAGATGTATACTCACAAACCAAAGGAAATTAAAAGCAGAATATGTAGTCCGCAATGGTGGTCAATACAATGCTGTGCCCTAATTAGGGATAAGCTGACGCGATTCGGGAGACGAACCCCCTTCCTCAGAGCTGAAGTGTATGCCTGCTGGTCCCATGCTTATATACCAAGGAATGCCAAAGAGGTCAAACCCCCACCCACTCATAGTGGTCCAATCACAGAAAAGGCTGATTGGATCCACCTAAAAAAAAAAAAAAAAAAATGTTTTTGTAAAGAGATAAAAATGCATAGATGGATAAGTGAATAAATGTATAGATGAAGTATATATAATGTATATAGAGACCACATAAATCACTAAACATAATATAAATGTAAGTACAAAATATATATATATAGATAGATAGATATATATATGATACACTGTACTCACTGGTACCCTCAAGATGGGTTTGGAATACTATTCAGTATCCGTGTGCAAAAGTGTATTTGCTTTGGATGAATAAATCCCTTCTAATGTTGGGTGTCCTACATGTGTGGGTGTTGTTGCAGTAGGTAAAACTATTAGAATAGTTTTTTTATATTTTAGAATGGGGTGCCTCAAGATTGTTCATAACTTTAAAGTGTTCCTTGACTGGAAAAAGGTCGAGAAACCGTGACTTAGAGCATTGGTTTTCAAACAGGGTTCTATTAAACCCTAGGGTTCCTCCAGAGGTTACTAGGTGTTCCTTGAGCAATGAGGGTAGAATTCTTCCCAAAGACCACAAGTGTAAGGAGCATTCTTCCCACTGACCATCACACTAATGTATCATGAGTTGTAGATATAGGGGGTTTTAGGAGGGCTTCCCTTAGACCGGAAAGTTATCTCTCAGCGTTCCTCTGTGCTACAAAGGTTGACCTAGATGGTTCTTGGTCCTTCCACCCACCTAGATGGTTCTTGGTCCTTCCACCCTATGCATTTTAGGTGGATAGATTTTTCTGAAAGACCATGTTTCAGATGTTATTTCTCTTGTACTTTTACCAGAATATCTAACCAGTCTGTTTGTTCTTCCACAGGGTGGCCACAGATCACAACTTGGACAATACAAGCAGCATTCTACGAGAATGGCTCATCAATGTCCAGAGCCAGTACCATCATGTGGAATGGAGGCCCCAGGAGCACCCCAGGTACAGGAATAATCTGCTACTGGGAAGACCCAGGCCAGCCACACCAAAAGCATCCATTATATAGATCTTTAACTGCCCGGCTAGCTCAGTCGGTAGAGCATGAGACTCTTAATCTCAGGGTCGTGGGTTCGAGCCCCACGTTGGGCGAGTGATATTTTATTTAAAAACCTTTTTATTAAATGGCAAGTTATTAATTATTAGTTTAGGAAAAAGAACAAGAAAAAAAAATCAAGATCTCCTAACCACTATCTGGGCCTGGAGTTGCAAGTAAAATATGCAACTTTAATTTCAAAGAACCTGTATAAAGGACTTCAACAGACAACTCCTCAAAATTAATTCTAGCCAAAAATAAGATTCACACTGCAAGAAATAATGAAACATTAGTAGAACTGTGTCCCCTAAAAAGATTTTTGTTACAATAACAATTTATTCCGTTGAAAATCCTGTGGGCAAAAAGGACCTCTATTTGTAGCGTGTATATTGGAAGTTATTCATCAGGATTGTATAGCTGTTCAAAGACTCCTATCCGGTCCTGGTGTGAACTCTATCAGTTGAAGCCGGATGTCTCGGTAACACCCCATGCAGCAGCCTAGACTCTTTTCTTGGTGAAGTTAGACTATGCTCAGTAAAGGAAACCTTTATTTAGACATGCAGGGAACATCTGGCAACTGCCCGGCTAGCTCAGTCGGTAGAGCATGAGACTCTTAATCTCAGGGTCGTGGGTTCGAGCCCCACGTTGGGCGAATACATTTTATTTTTAAAAACATTTGATAAAGTGATATGTTTTTATTATTATCATACAGGATTTATATAGCACCAACAGTTTAGGCAGCGCTTTACCAATAGAAGGTAGACATTACAGTTACAATACAATTTGGTACAAGAGGAAACAGAGGGCCCGGCTCGTTAGAGCTCACAATCTAGTTTTTATAGGACATTAATAAGAACTAAGAACTGCTAACTTTAGTTATTTCATGTTTTTGCAATAAAAGTACATGGAAGCTTCTCTAGTTATCACCTTATCAGAGTAAATAATTTTGCATCTGTTTTTGAAATGGCTGTTTTCCTGACCAGGGGCGGACTGACAACTCATGGGGCCCCCGGGCAATAGGGGATCATGGGGCCCCTGTGTCCTTGCCCAAACTCAAAAAAGCCTATGAAAAAGGTACCAGGGGCATCTCATGGGGCCCCCTACTGACCTCGGGGGCCCTCGGGTAGTGCCCGAGTTTCCAAATGGTCAGTCCGCCCCTGGTCCTGACATGCTGATCCAAAGCATTCAATATTTTCTCAGTCAGTGACTTCAACTATTGAGGCAAGAGACAGCCAGCTAACTAGCATTTTCAGAAAAACATTAGAAATGGCATTCTCTGCATCAGTTTGTACAGGTTTGCTTTACTTTTTTTAATCTCCTGGCATCACCATAGCAGTGAAAATAAAAGAAGGAGCCCTAAAGTTTACAAAATACTGAACCTGTGTGTGTAGACCGCAGCAATAACCTTCTTATTTGCTCCCTTTTTGATCTTTTAAATGTACCATTGAAAGCAGTTTGTTATGTCTGTTCAAGAAGTGCAAAAATACCTGTTGATCCTGCCAGAAATCCAGTGGGCTTTTAGGTTTTTGTACAGTCTGCATTATTATCTCAGACGGTCAGCCCTGCCCAGTTCAACGTCATGAACTACAGAACACGTTATGGAGAGGGGAAGGGGTTCTGTAGTTCTAATACTCTTCCTGTATTAGGGTGACCACATTGCTCCTCCATAGATACAGTACAGTGAATAAGCGTTGTCACCCTAGGACAGGGAAGTGTTAATCCAACACAACAAACGCTTTTCTCCTGCGCTAGGAAAAGACTCAGTAGACCCAATAGGAGTGTTCTGGTGTGTTCACCCACACTCAAACCACACCCAAAAAAGCCTATGAAAGGTACCAGGGGCATCTCATGGGGCCCCCTACTGACCCCGGGCCCTTGGGCAGTGCCCTAGTTTCCAAATGGTCAATCCGCCCCTGTTCAGGAGCTCTTCTGGGGTTTTGTTTTTTTTTTTTTTTCAGCAGCCCCTGAACTCTCCCTAATGTTTTCCTATGTGTCCATGTACACATCGTCGTTTACAGGCAGTTGAGTTTACAGTTGTTTTTTTTAACGTACCAAACTTGCGTTCAGGAGTAGATTTTATCAGCGGTTCAAACGCTTGTAAACACGGCTAACTGCGTTTATATGCGTTTGCGTTTATAAGCGTTTTTTTAACTGTTACCTATCTCCAGATGCTGTCCAGAACCTTTTTTCATCATCAGAAATGCATGCAAAGTGTTTTCCATGTATTCAAATGGACCCGGTACACCAGCGCAGTCAGTTCCAGGTTTCATGTGAAGGAAAAAATGGTGGAATGCGCCACATTCTGCTCATGATGGGATCCATAGTGAATACAACCAGAAAAGACAGGTCATCTCAACACATACTGCTATCTCTGCTTCTGTTCTCGCTATTTCTCTCAAAATGTCTGAAATAGTTAATTTTTTTACTGTTTTCAGTGCATTCTGGGCATTTTGGATGGTCTCCTGAGGTTATCTTCAAAAAACGCTTCTAAAACGCAAACGCTCATAAACGTGGTATGCAAACGCGGCTAAACAGACGTTTTTTTAACCTACGTTTTCCAGCAGTCAGTTTCCACCATTCAGAAGTGTTTTCCAAACGTCCCGTGTACATGAGCCCTAAGAGTTATCTAAAACCACAACTTTTCTTTTTCGTTTTGGATGGAGTAGAGAGGGGTTATAACCCCTGTTGGGTTGTCTTGCTTTGGAGAGATTTCCCTTCACTTCTTATCTCCAACACGTATCAGGATTTTCCAAAGTGAGACAAATCTCTTTAACCATTAGCCGCCTGGCCTATAGCCGTTTGGTGGCCGCAAAAATGCATTAGCTTTCAGGGGTGTACGCCATTTGGCGTCCTCCTGCACATGCGCAGTTCACACGGTTGCAGAGCCGCGCAGCCTATCACCGGCCGTGTACCTCGGACACGGCCGATGGCAGATCTGAGTACCGGCCCCTGTTGCCGGTACCATGTGACCTGCTGTGACCAATCACAGCAGGTCACATGACAGTTGTATACAATGGATGGCTTCATTCATGCCATCCATTGTATACTAGTGTCTAGCTGTGAATGGTCACAGCAGGTCACATGCACATGTCATGTGATTAGCTGTGGCCAAATCACAGCTAAGCACAAAAAAAAAAAAAAAAAAACCCTGAATGAATCGATGTCATTCAAGTAAATGCTTGCTTATAGCAAAGTAATTCTTTGCTATAAGCAAATTGTGTAAAAAAAAAAAAAAAAATACTGATCACTTCCCCAAAGTAGTACAATGTTACTATGGTAACATTGTACTACTTTGGTCATAGTGAAATATGAAAAGAAAATCTTAAAAAAAAAAAAAAAAAAATTAATAAAAAAAAAAATAAATATATATATTTTTTTCATACTGTCACCAGTCAGTGTCCCTGTTCACCGCCATGCCAGTTATATGATGACGCTGTACTGCACTGGTGACAGTATGTAAAAAAAAATTTATGTAGAACAATTATTTATTTGCAAACTTTTAGAACAGAAACAAAGAAAAACGTGTTTTTTTTTTCAAAATTTTTGGACTTTTTTTGTTAATTTAGCAAAAAATAAAAACCCCGGCGGTGATTAAATACCACCAAAAGAAAGCTCTAGTTGTGTGAAGAAAATGATAATATTTTAGTTTGGGTACAGTGTCGTATGACCGCGCAATTGTCATTCAAAGTGTGAGAGCGCTGAAACCTGAAAAATGGCCTGGGCAGGAAGGTGTAAAATTGCCCGGTATTGAAATGGTTAAGACATTTGTCACCAGAGCATGTGTCCTCCATGGAGGGTTTCTCTTTCTAGTGACCATTTATTTTCAATTTTCCCTCACTTTCAGTCCTGGTGAAAATAGTCAAACAGCAATACAATGCAAAACAACAATAAAAAAATGGGTTCACTGTTGTAATTGAACTCCTTCCTCCTCTGATCTGAAGCCGTAGTTGCCAAAGTTATGAAACTGTTTCCCGGGACTCATTGTTTTCTAGTTTCTAAGCTTGCTAGGCTATGTAAAGGCACAATGACGATGTCACTGCTAATTTTACAAGGTAATATCTGGGTGTGCAAAGGCATTTGGTGCACACAAGGTGGATTTGTATCCTTTCTGGCTCTTGAGGCATACATTTTGTGTCTGGTGTTCAGTTGTATTTCTGACATTACTCTCTCCATCTCTCCATCCTTTTGCTTGGTCAGTTACTCCGAAATTGGCGCTATAGACTTTTTTTTACTTTTTTTTTTTTTTTGCATGTTGGGTATGTACATGCAATTAGCCAGCCTGTTACAGTAATGCAGTGTCTTTCTTTTTTCTTTCCGTCAAAGCTTTGTAGATAATCCACAAGCAGCTGTCCTGGCCAAACACCCTCCTGAGCAAACACAGGCTTCAGCTGTTCTTGAGAAATCCCCCTCCAAGTATGAACGGCCATCAAGTTCTACATAATCCCTTTTGGGTTTTGTTCCTCATTTGCCATGCACATCCAGCATGTGTTCAGTGTGACACAACACACATCCTCTTGTCCTAGGAAATGGCTTTGTTCAGCAATTTCCTAAATATTAACCCTTGCACTGCTATACTTCTCTTCCATGTAGGTCATTTATGTATCTCCCATGATCGATCTGATGATTCCACCAATCCTTTTGTCTCCTCCAGGTGGTTTCAGGATGAGGAAGGCCCCAAGCACTGGTCTCACGCCCGCTACGAATATGTCATGAAACTTCGCCAGGCGGCTCTAAACTCAGCGCGAGAAATGTGGGTTGACTACATCATGGTATGTGAAAGTCGCTCATACATGCTTCCTGGGCTTTATGTTGGTCTCTGGAGAGGAACTAGGAGCTTGGTCTTTGTAAGGCTGCATTCACACTTGAGTGTTTTGTAACTCGAAGCTCAGAGCTGGAAGATCCAAAAACACTCAAACTTAAAAAAAATCAATTGTTCTCTATGATGCTTGTTCACAGGATCAGGTGTGAACTGGCACCATAGAGAACAATTTTTTCTTTTAAGTTTGAGATTTTTGGGAGCTTCAAGTTACAAACCGCTCGAGTGTGAATGCAGCCTAAGAGGCTTGTGCAGTGGCCTGAATATATTACTGTAACGTTCATGGGGCGATTATTGCAGTTTAAGGCGATTCACTGGGATGAAGTGGGGGTGCGGGGAGCGTTGACAGGGGACTGCTGCTGGTATTAATAAATTTGTGTGTTTTGTTGTGTGTCATATCCTTGGAAGAAGCATTTTTCATGCAGTTACTGGGCGTGCCGTGCCTGGTAGAATAATCCCAATGACGTGACCTTCTCGGTGTAGTCCATGGTCCTTTTTAGGGGCCAGTCACACAGGACATTGGTTTGCAACTCAAGTACAGCTGAAGGGAGCTCTGGGCAGATGTGATGCTCCACATCAGTGGTCTCCAAACTATGGCTCAGGATCCTTCATCTGGCCCTTGGGGCTCTTTTTTTTCTTGCCCACTGATGCAGGACACTATTCCTCCTGCTGACACCAACAATGGGGCACTATTCCTCCCACTGACACCAATGATGGGGCACAATTCCTCTCACTGATACCAATGATGGGGCACTATTCCTCCCACTGATACCAATGATGGGGCACTATTCCTTCCACTGATACCAGTGATGGGGCACTATTCCTCCCACTGACAACAACAATGGGGCACTATTCCTCCCACTGACACTAATGATGGGACACTTCCTCCCACTGACATCAACGAGTGGGTACTATTCCTTCCACTGACATCAACAATGGGGTATATCCTCTGTTACTGACTTCAACAATGGGGCACTATTCCTCCCACTGACACCAACAATGGGGCACTATTCCTCCCACTGACATCAACAATGGGGTATATCTCCTGTTACTGACTTCAACAATGGGGGACTATTCCTCCCACTGACAACGATGGGGGACTATTCCTCCCACTGACAACGATGGGGGACTATTCCTCCCACTGACAACGATGGGGGACTATTCCTCCCACTGACAACGATGGGGGACTATTCCTCCCACTGACAACGATGGGGGACTATTCCTCCCACTGACAACGATGGGGGACTATTCCTCCCACTGACAACGATGGGGGACTATTCCTCCCACTGACAACGATGGGGGACTATTCCTCCCACTGACAACGAGTTGATTGGAGAGGGGAAAACATATAAAGAAGTGCAGAAAATGATAGGCTGCTCAGCTAAAATGATCGCAAATGCTTTAAAATGGCAACCAAAACCTGAAAGACGTGGAAGAAAGCGAAAAACTACCATTCGAATGGATAGAAGAATAGCCAAAATGGCAAGGACTCAGCCAACAATCAGCTCCAGGAAGATCAAAGAAGGTGTAAAGTTACCTGTGAGTACTGTTACAATTAGAAGACGCCTATGTGAAGCCAAGCTATCTGCAAGAAGCCCCCGCAAAGTCCCACTGTTGGAAAAAAAGATATGTGCTGAAGAGGTTACAATTTGCCAAAGAGCACATTGACTGGCCTAAAGAGAAATGGCACAACATTTTGTGGACTGATGAAAGTAAGATTGTTCTTTTTGGGTCTAGTGGCCGGAGACAGTTTGTCAGACGACCCCCAAACACTGAATTCAAGCCACAGTACACTGTGAAGACCGTGAAGCATGGTGGCGCAAGCATCATGATATGGGGATGTTTCTCATACTACGGTGTTGGGCCTATTTATCGCATACCAGGGATCATGGATCAGTTTGAATACATCAGAATACTTGAAGAGGTCATGCTGCCTAATGCTGAAGAGGAAATGCCCTTGAAATGGGTGTTCCAACAAGACAACGACCCCAAACACACCAGTAAACGTGCAACATCTTGGTTCCAGACCAACAAGATTGACGTTATGGAGTGGCCAGCCCAATCCCCAGATCTTAATCCAATAGAAAACTTGTGGGGTGACATCAAAAATGCAGTTTCTGAGGCAAAACCAAGAAATAGAGAAGAACTGTGGAATGTAGTCCAATCATCCTGGGCTGGAATACCTGTTCACAGGTGCCAGAAGTTGGTTGACTCCATGCAACACAGATGTACAGCAGTTCTCAGAAACAGTGCGACTACAACCAAATATTCATTAAGTGATTCAAAGGAAAGCAAAATCTTCAAACATTTTTCAGTTTATATAGTGAATGTTTGAGTTTGTAAAGAAGAATACAAACACTGCGATTTTTTTGAACAGTCTAATATTCACTTTTCTACAATTTTTTTTAGAGGAACAACACAAATTTGATCTATTTTTCTTCATGTTTTGATTTGGAATAGAATGTGTAGTGTTCCCAATGCATTTGTGTGTATGGAAATAAAAGCTATTAGAAGGATTTTGAGCTTTATTCACTTTTTTCAACACACTGCTATTATTTTGAACACAACTGTACATGGGGGAGATTTACTAAAACTGGAGCACTCAGAATCTGGTGCAGCTGTGCATGGCAGCCAATCAGCTTCTACCTTCAGCTTGGTCAGTTAAGCTCTGACAATTTGGCTGGCCATACATACCAAAAACCATATAATAGGAGATCAAACCTAACAACACTTTCAGTTGTATCCAATTAGGGAGGACCTTGCACTACATAGTTGAAGGTAAATCTAAAGGAAATTGGGCAGAAATTAAACAGAAAATTGTAAAGTGTATGGCCAGCCTAAAACCTGGAAGCTGATTGGTTATCATGCACAGCTGCATCAAATGTTGCATGCTCCTGTTTTAGTAAATGTCCCCCATGGTCTTCCTGGGAGGGGGGATCCTGAGGTGGTCTCAGACCATTAAGCTACATTTATACGAGTGATTAGCAAACCCTGCGATTTCCAGCGGCATGAATGTGGGGATTCCTGCGAGTGGAATAATAAGTGCGTGTAAATAGCTGCAGTCACTCAGACCATACAAGAAAAAAACAATATGGCGGGCTGATGGCAGCTTCAGCTATTTGTGACTGATCGCACAGCCAGCACTTACCTGCAGTGATCATGGATTGGCGCATTGGGGGAGAGTTACTAAAACTGGTGCATACAGAATCTGGTGCAGCTGTGCATGGTAACCAATCGATTTCTTGGTTTTATTGTCAAAGCTTAGGCTGGCCATACACTATACAATTTTCTTACAATTTTCTGTCCAATTTCTGTGCCACTTCCTTCAGATTTACCTTCAACTATGTAGCACAAGTGCCCGCCTAATTGGATACAATTGAAAGTGTTGTTAACCCTATTATAGGGTTTTTGGTAAATCTAAAGCAAAATTCTCAAGAAAATTGTATAATGTATGACCAGAATTAGATGCTCAAACCTCAACTGGCTTCAGTTAAACAGTCGAATCTTATGAGCAAATCACTTCATGGATCTTTTTGCAGCAACTAAAAATAGCTTGAAAGAGTCTGGAACATTTGGAGACCCCGGGTCTTCATGTTACAAACAAAAGGGCCAGTTTAATGTTCTTCAGACTTTAGGAGGGTCAGACTGTGTCCACTGAGAGTAGAAATTCTTCTGAAATCAGTGGGAATAAACTTTGGCATTAGGAGGAGGAATTATGCACCATCTTTGGTGTCAGTGGCAAAATAGTGCCCCATCGTTGCTGTAAGTGGGAGGAATAGTACCCCATCGTTGGTGTCAGTGGGAGGAATAGTCCCCCATCGTTGGTGTCAGTGGGGAGGAATAGTCCCCCATCGTTGGTGTCAGTGGGAGGAATAGTCCCCCATCGTTGTCAGTGGGAGGAATAGTCCCCCATCGTTGTCAGTGGGAGGAATAGTGCCCCATCGTTGTCAGTGGGAGGAATAGTGCCCCATCGTTGTCAGTGGGAGGAATAGTCCCCCATCGTTGTCAGTGGGGAATAGTCCCCCATCGTTGTCAGTGGGAGGAATAGTCCCCCATCGTTGTCAGTGGGAGGAATAGTCCCCCATCGTTGTCAGTGGGAGGAATAGTCCCCCATCGTTGTCAGTGGGAGGAATAGTTCCCCTTTGTTGAAGTCAGTAACAGGAGATATACCCCATTGTTGATGTCAGTGGGAGGAATAGTGCCCCATTGTTGGTGTCAGTGGGAGGAATAGTGCCCCATTGTTGGTGTCAGTGGGAGGAATAGTGCCCCTCACTAACAGAACTCCACACTGCTATTATTTTGAACATGCCCCTTTCAATTAGTGATTCAATTACACAGAATCAGTAGCATGCATGTCATGACTGTTGGGTCTGTTGGATTTCTATTACTCTACTACACCTGCTAGTAAATTATTTGCCATGTAGAAATATCATTTCTACCAAAAACAGTAATTGATCAGGTTAGTGATGTCTGACTGCTATTATTTTGAACACAACTGTATGTATAGACAGTGAGATCCTGGCCAAACTGCCACTTCTGAGATTGTCACATCGGGTTGCGGTAAAGTGTGGGTTACCAACATACACATGAATTCACTCTATGGGAATCTGTCATCGCACTAAATGCCTTTCTGATGGAGTCTGCTATTATCTGACTGACTCAGTCTCCATGCTGTTCAGCGTTGCTATGAGGTTATTACCTGGGAACTAATTATATATATTTTCTGGATTCTTTTCCGAGTCCTTCGTCTACTGTCAGTCAGGTATTCAGTTGTATAATGGTTGTAGGAGTAGGATGACGACTATCTGAAAGTCTGTATGCTAGCTGCTGTATTAGGCATGTGTACAGGCTGTATTCTGTGCCGTTCATTGCTAGGAGGTAGGGCACTGACTCCCAATCCATGTATGTTTGATTGCCATAGTACACGGGTGTCAAACTGGCGGCCCTCCAGCT